ATTTTGTATTAAATTGAGATAAAATAGGTATTGTGAAAATTAAAACAGCAGTAAATAAAGGATCTCAATTGATAAATTTGATAAAAAAAGGATACGATACAGATCTCCCATTATTTTCTAAAGAAAAAATAGCTAAAAGACTAACACCAGAATGGCAATGGTATCTCTACAAAGAGATAAAGCAACATATTTAAGATCTATTAAAGCAGGATGAATATTATCCATTACCTTCCGTTGAAAAACCAAAAAATTCAAACAAAAAAAATTAAATTGTATATTATTCTTATTTAAAATAAATTTATTTTTATTTTTATTAGATATTAAATACTTTTATACTAAAGTAATAAAATAATATCTTCAATTATAATATCTAAGAACCACAATCACTGTAATTTTATATACAGATTCTAGAAGTCCGAAGAAGCTGAAGAGTAAAAAAAAGAACATTAAAATACGTTCTAAAGCAAACACATAAAACCACTAGGCAATACTTACTATCCACCAGAAGTCCAGTGAGACTGGTTTCTACAAGAAAAATAAGTAAGTTACACTCTTAAAATAAAAATTATAAAAATAAATTAAAAAAAAATTAACCATTTTATCCTAGGAAATCCTACTGAAATTGCTGTTTCAGAAGTACCCTGCTAAAGTTGGTTGCCTAGAAAAGAAAACAGTAAACGTACAGTAAGTAAAATTAATTAGAATTAAAATTAAGACTAATAAAAAAAAAACTTACTTGTTTCTATATTTTTAAAGCCATCTGCCATCTTGAAGAAGCTTACAAGATAAAATGAAAGTAAATAGAAATTAAAAATAAATTAATAAAAAAAAAATAAACTTTATTTTTTATTAATTTCCTACAATCACTGCCAAAATTATCAGTCTAGATTCCTGAAAGAAACCTAGATGGAAAAAGAATAAGTAAAATTAATAAAAAATAAAAAAAAACAATGAAATAAAAAATATTCTAACTACCCTTCTCACTATTTCTAGAAGCCACCTATAGAACTCACCTGTAGAACTGTCCTGAAAAAAAAAATTTTTTAACATTTAGATTCGAAATTTCATATTTCGTGTTAGTTACTTTTTCAGAAACTGTTATAAATAAAAAGAGTAATTACTGTGAAACAAAATTAAATCTAGCAGCCGTTCATTATATTTCAACTTCAATAATCTGACAAAGGTATGATGTCAGGTTGTATAGGTTATATAAGTTGTATAATAAATAGAAAAACTACTCTTTGGGCATTTTCAACTAGAATGAAAAAAATGTAAAAATACTCTATTCCCGTTGTATATATACAATACTGTAAAAATTGGTTAAATACCCTATTGTAAATCATTTTCCTATTTTAACTAATTTACACAAAGATTTGCAACTCCTCAATGTTGCGATTAAAAATGGTTTATTCCATTTTTCTCAAAAAAATAAAATTAGGGATTTCCCCATTTTTAACTGACACAAGCCCATATTTTTCCAATTATCTTCATCTGAAATATCTTGTTAAATGAATTTTTTTGCATTTGCAAATGTATTATGATCATCATCATTATTTTTTTCATTCAAGAATTATTGCTTTCAGCATTAATTAAATCTTCATATTCATCATCAAACTTCAAATCTTCCTAATTCCTTATATTCACTATAAATTTTATAACTACTTTTGAGACTTTTTCATATTTACTATAACTTTTATTACTACCTTCTAAATCTTCTTTTAAATTCATTAAGCCAAAAGAGTGTTCAACAAATTCAGAATCTATAAGAAAAAATGTAAAAAAAAGAAAATTATTATTAGTTTTAATTTAAGACTTTTAAATAGTGTAATATTTTTAAGTTTTTTTCACCTGTCATTATATTTAATGAAAAAAATATATCAACTTTTGGTAGAGATCCAACTTGCTTAACAAAATTTATATGAGCCGTCAATAAGTTCTATTTTTTACTTTAGTTAGTACGTCACATTGTAAAAATGCAGTGTTACCATTATCCTGCTTTTTTCAATTTTAAGCGAATTTAGGCCGGCATTACGAATTTGGCCAGAATTAACAATGATCGCGGCCAAAATTATGATTTGAAGATCGGCGATTTTAACCAATTAAATTAATATTAACAAATAATATATATATATATAATATATTTGAAGATCATGCTGTGCCACAAATTTTATTTACGCAATGATAATGAAAAAAATTTTCTCTCTAAATTGGTTATTTTTCCAGTGACTGTTAGAAATTACTTTATTTTATATTAGGAATATTAGGATTATCTTGAATACTATTAGTTGTAATTTTTTATTGCGATCGGGTTCAATGATAATGTGCATAACATAATTGTTTTCCAAATTCTAAATAATTATATTGGTCAAAGGTGCCTTTTTCTTTTGCTTTT